GGCAACCACCCATATAAGGTTTTCAAAGTCCTTATGAGTATGCCCACCAAATCCTTTTCTGCTTATCCAGGCAACTACAGTACTCCACAACAGCTAAGGAGTGCCCTCGGCACTGGCTGCCGTGATGATCCTCGTTACATCGTAGATACCGACACACCGGTTCTTGTAGAGTAGCCAGGGCTTGCACAGGACGCGGAGGCTGCCGAGTTAGATGTGGCTTGGTGACCGCTGGCCAGTTGACTTACGCAATATTGTGGTATACCTACTTAATCCTACCTAGCCATGAGCCGCCATAGACTCTTTGCATTGACCAGTATATACGGCACTCTTCCCCGAGCCTCTTTGGGTCCTGCTTTGCCCCTAATTAGGTGCTCCAGGACAGCTTGGCACTACAAGTGCCACCAGTTGACCTTCAATCTCTATGCCGTAGGCATCGTGCAGGATCCTCTGGTCGAGCGCATGCTGTGATCAGAGCTTCCGGCCTATCTCGACTTTTCCATGCAAAGCTCGGCCAACCTTGGAAATGAGCAAGACACCAAACTAGCCATCAAACCCCTGCTCAGCTCCATTGGTGACAATCCCACTGTACAGCTGGCCTTAAAGACTCCACCACAGACTGACGTGCGCTTGGATTTGGTCTCGAGAAATTGCTCTGAGCTTGGGACAGGGAGCATGAGGCGGCACAAGAACCCGGGTCTAGCGACCAAGTCATGCTTTCAAGTACTGTGACTAGAGTCGGTCTCAGCAGCAGTTTGACATCTTAGGGCATGCAGGCGACATCACTTCACTTGTTGCATCTGTTGCTAGCGGGTGCATGCATCAACCAAGTGTAAGTCATCTTGAGTGACAGTCCTGGATTCCGCGGTTCTCCTTGCATGCTATTGTGGGTTGCTGTTCAGGAACTTAAATCGCGTTTGTGGTATGGAAACCTTACTATTCGTTGTATGGCCCTACTACGGTAAATAAGTCAGTTTGAGTTCCTGACTAGTAGCACATTATTAGGATCCGGGGCGAGCATGCTAAAGGCTGATACGCAGCTGTTACTGATTTAACATGGTTCAGGGCTTGGGGTTGAACATGGTCACTATGGTCGCAGTACAATTGACATGGGCTTGGGGTTAGGGATTGAGCGAATATGGTTCCGGGACTTTGTAGGCTACATGTTGAGTCACTCCCCCTTGCAGTAACAGTTGCCGCAGTCGATAATAGGAGTTATCTATAGCCCGTCCATAAAGCTCCTGTGAGGACACTTGCTGTAAGGAGGAATGACCCAAGCTAGATGTGATCTCAATTTGGATTTCATAGTGAAGGCGTCCAAGAGATGGAGACAATCGCGAAATGGGCTTGGGAATGGAGGAGCTATTGCCTTTGCATTTCTTGGAAGAGGAGAGGCTCCAGATCTATAAATCCCTTTGGAATGTCTTGATGGCTGGGGCATATCGGAGATACCTTCATGTTCAGAAAATTTGTGAGGTTTACTCTCAAAATGAGAGTTCAAACTGTTACATTTTGATACAGCATGTGCAATAAGGGCGTCGGAAGAAGAGACATTGGACAACTACGCCGTAAGAAGCCACTTGAGACTGTCAAACCAGGAATATTTCTGATATTTTTCATCAGAAAATGCATCAAACAATGTGTTTCTTAAATAGCAGTAGCAGGGGCTTGGAGGTCTTAGAGTTGGGATATATCCACAGCAACTTGACCAGACTAAGCCTGGCTCTCAGGACTAACTGTTTTGGGCTCTTTGCTGATTCTAGGGTTTTGGGTTTTGGGTCTGAGCTGAGGCAATCGTTGGGCGACAAGTTGCCCTTAACTGTCAACCTTGCTGCGAAAATGTATACAGCCCCCCTTTAAGATAGAATAGGGAATTGCCAAGAATCATAATAAGATCCCCACACACCCCATGTTCTATATACTCCTGGGCCTCCAAGTGGAGGGTCCCTCCTACCCAGCAATAGCGCTCACTTAAGCTTCTGGTGTTTTGAAGATATATAAGGGGATACAGAGATCTACAGCGGTATGCAGGGACCGTGGATAAACAAATGAACAGAAACATGGAACATCAAGTGGCACCTGGGGTTACGCAGGGGGCTTCATGGGCATAGTGGCCAATATTGTGGTCATAGGTCTGAAGACACATGGCATAGGACTTCCCAGATAGACTTCAAAATCATGTTGGCATTATCAACGCTCCCACAGTATTTTGGCATTGTCCAGAGGGTGCATGTACCCTGTCATCGGGCAGACTCCTGCATGACCCAAAGCGCCTCATGCGCTGGCAATGATGGTGTGTCAGTATCATTAGATCCTTTGGTCTGATGGTGTATGCTTGCAGGAAATACATGATCACTGTGTACCTGGACCCTTTACAGACAGTCAAGGATTGTTAGATCAGCCCTGATAGCTGTTTGACGGACGTCCTTTGATGTCTATGGTTTGTTTGTCCGGCCGCCGTTCACACACCAAACTGTGGATTCTAGACATGCGCCCTAAAGCCTAAATCCTAGCACTGGTCCATCTTCCCTGCATTGTCCAATGATGCTCGAGTTTTGCAGAGCCGCCCCTCCAGGCCCTAAAGCCTCCGATAGTCGCCACACCCATATGGGCCCCCTAAAATTGCAGGCACCTTTTGTGGGGCTCCCTCGTAATAAGGGTTATAGTATTGGGGTCCCCCTATCTTGGGAAACTACCATGTATCACTGCCACTCTTACAAAGGTCCAGAAGCTTGTTCTTTTGTTCGTGTGCTGTTGGCTTCAAGCTTTAGTTGTTGAATTCTGAAGTGTTCCATTGCCCATACCGCTTGCAGCTCGGCTTTGAATTTCCGATCTAGAGCTTCAAGACAGTTGTTTAGCCTGGTCAGGGGCCTACAGCCCTTTCCTTTACACCCCGACGGATCCGTGACCTTAAGCCTGGGCTTCAGTCTTGCATTCGCAAGCTGATTTTCCCCGACCCTAGGCTCAGCATCGTGTGCAGGTTTTCTCTCGTTCTCGAGAAGGGTAGGCTATCACTGCTACACTGCTGGGAAGCGGGTGTTACTTCTAACCTACCTAGTATTGTTGTTCAGGACCCGTCGTAGCTCCCCCTAGGTCGAATAACCATGATCATGAGCAAGACATGCGTACAATCACTAATGAGGTTACAGGTAACATGCCCTGCTGAGTTTCCAGCCCCCAAACGAGGTGTAGATCCTCTTCATCTAGGGGAAAACTTTGGATTAGCCGTCATCTGGGGGTGCCTAAAGCCTCCACCCTGAACCTAAAGAGGGGGAAGTAACCAGCAATAGAAGAGAGGCGTTGAGCATCAGGCCATTACATTTCCGGGCCTAGGGTTAGAAACATGGGGCAAAGGCTCCAACGCCAAATGCCGTATTCCAGTAACCATGGTCATTCAGAGTCATTCGGGATTTGTAGCCACAACCGAAGGTTTCCTGTGTCAGCTCCTGGCAACCGGCTCCTTAGTAGGGTTCCTTGGTTCCTTGGATTGCCCTATAACCCGGACACATCCTTTGGATTCTTGACTGTACCCTCGTGTTGAGAAGAAACCGAATCCAGGTAGCCATGGCAATGCCAATGACTGATGACCAGATATACGCACACTTGAACTGCATTGTTACGCACCGTGGCTGCAACAGCGACTGTACACGTCTTCGTCCAAGGTCGCCTTAACTGCTGGTTGGGGTTGTCGCGAGTATACATAGGTGTTTGCGAGCCGGCTTTGGGAATCATATGGGGCATCCCTGCCTAGAAATATCTTGTTGCTAGGCTTCATGTGTTGCCAACGCATGCAGCACTCAGCTATTTGACAATCCCTTCGGATGCATTCTGCAAATAGCACTACATATACGGGTTTGCACAAATCAGGGGGTACGTCGTCGGGTGGTCCCCTTCAGCAAGGATTCTCTTATTTGAGGGTGTCCAAAAGATTCGAGGCCCCTTGCGGGGTATGTATCAGCATATGCCGTTTAGGTCCATATAGCCTTTAGACTCTCGACGGGAACCATGGTATTGTGAACCCTAAACGCAGCCAACCACGCAAAAAAGTGAAGTACTGCGTGCTGCTACGCCCGCCAAAGCTCCAAACTTTAGATCCAAATCCTACGCCGCAATTCCGAACCCGTAGCTTTTTAAACCCTAAGCCCAAATTCCGACATTGAACTTGGAGACGCAGACCTGTATATATAGGCCTCAAGCCAATGGAAATTGTTACGCACACTGAGCTGGAAGGTTACAATGAGTGTCAGTTCAGGATTTAGGTTTTAGGCTTTGGGCTTAGGGTTTAGGGTTTCGAGTTTAGGTATTACAGGGCTAGGGGTTGCGACAAGCACAGGAAAGTCTTGTGTGTCAGTTCTCCATGGTGCAAGAGCAGAAGCTATAGCGTCAATCTTAGACAAGTCCCAATCCACAAGCCCCAAACCCCAACAAACCCAAAACATTCAATCCCGAACGCGCCCAAAAACATTCTTCACCCCCTTGACCCCTCAACCCTTCACCCAGCTCCCTCTGGCCCCCCAGACCTCAAAATGCTGCATGCTGCGAACCCCCTGAGCCATGCTCTCCATTTAGGGCTGAGGGTTTGGATTTTAGTATGGGACACAGGTTCCATTCAAGGTCGCTCGCATTTGGCTGTCACAGGGCTTAAGGTTTTGGATGGAATGCTGCACCTCTCAAGTACCTTAAATCCTTGCAAGTACAGTAGTTTAAGGCCCTTGGATGTCTTTTTTCAGCCATACACTCGAAGCTGATAACTTGGAGAGAAAAGTTCCTTTGGGGTATACTACAATTCCTGAGCAATGACATAGCGAGCTCCAACAGCACTACATAGGAGCCTTTGGGTATGGAGCTTGAGATTGAGTTTGGGATTTGGAGCTGGGGTTACGGGCATGCGGCTTGAGATTCAAGTCAAGCTACAGCACCCAGACCAAGGTGCATGTTAATGCCAATATTGGCCGACACACATTGCCACTACCCGTGCGAGAACGGCGAAGAGTCTGATTCCGATGACGATGGAGGCTGAGGTGGGAATCACCGATCATGAAGTCGGAGGGTTACGGTTTGGGGTCGACTGAGGGTTTGTAGGGACTTACTAAGTATACTTATGGCCTTACAATATAAGCCATGCAACCCGACCTATTCCCACTATTCACCTACTTACTAGACCCATTTGACCCTGCAAGGAAGCAGGTGCGAGGTTCCAGGGTTCAGGGGTCAGGGTATAGGGTTTAGTCAGCCGTGGATTCCCAATGATTACGATATACATCCCAATATTATATGCCCAACATATACCAATGATGCGTGTATCCCTACTCTTCCTTCAGAGGCAGTATAGGAAGGGGTGTTGGGACTGGACATGCTTGTCAATCGTCGCCACTTGCCAGGAAGCTTCGCCGAAGATAATGTTGGAGGCGGTCAGGGTTGAGGATTAGGGTTTAAGGTTTAGGGTTCAGGGGTTAGGGTTGGGGTTTCAGAGCTTCAGGTCTGGGGTTGAGGGCCAAGTTGAGGGTTCAAGATTTGATCTCGCCCTGTGGTTAGGGCTGGGGGTTTGTGGTAGAAGGGTCCGAAGCACCTATATACGGAATACTTACCTTAAGCACTTAAAAAACAAGTTCCTATTACGGCAACCACTCTGTAGCATGTAGGCACATTTGACCACAGATCCCTAAACCTTAGACCCTAAAGACCCACAGACCCCAGGCTCACGAAGTGGCGTGGTTTCAGGTGTTCTTAAACGGAGGTTAGGCTCAGGTCAGTCGAAAGGGCGCTTCTACGGATAGACAATGTTTAGGAGTAGGTTTGAGCGTCTATTCTTGAGGGTTTTGTTAGTTAAGGCTACGGGTTTGGAGTTTAAGATTTAGGCAGGGGCTTCCGAGTGCAAAACACCCGGCCAAAGTCCAGACCCCAAGGATTTTCATGGGCGAATATGGGTTTCAGAGGGATCTCTGTTCACGCACAGATTCATTTTTCCAGGAGTTTGGAATGGAGCCATCAGGAGAGCCAGGGGAATCCTGGCCAACCCTCGCGGTCCGGCCCTCCCTTTCAGAGAAAACTGTTCTGAAAAGTTTCTATGGTGCTTGAAGCCGGTCATTTCCGTCTTTCATCTTTCCCCCCCAAGATATGTTCAGAGCCGTGCTACATGAGTATATAGAAACCTACTAAGCATACCTCGTAGCTATCCGGTATTGCCTCATCCAAAGACAATTAGAAAACAAAACGGCATAATTGTATATGGACCTTGAATACCAGCCGTTTTGCAGACTGTTACTGGGTACCGCTGAGCCCCTGAGGCGGGGAAGAAGAGAGGGTGGGAGCTGGAACGCTCCTGCGATCCGATATGGATCCTTTGCGGAGGCAGCGAGATGCGTTTGAGGTTTCCTCGATCTGGGTTTAGGGGTTAGGGGTGAGAGTTTGGAGTTTTCGGAGCAGGGTTTCAGGTTCCGCGCTGTGCGCCTCATGGGGTTCATAGCTCCCTTAGAAGCGGTAAGGAACAGTAATGCAGTTTCAGGCGGGGTTGGAGTTTAGACGAGGGTTTTAAGGATTAGGGTTTGGAGGTATAAGGACGTTGATAAAAGGGTCTAGAGGTTAGTGTTGATCGGGGGAGAGTTAATGGAGTAAGGGTAGGCAATAGGGCTTGATTTTGGATACTGTCCCCACGATAAATGCGTAAAGCCCTTACTATTATCCCTATTATAGATTGTGATTGGGTGGGGGCAGTACCCAAGCTTCATGATCTGGGGTTCAGGGTTAATGTCAGCCAATGGTAACTTCAAGTGTGTACTGCTCGGGAGCAGATGGCGTCACAACGGAACAAAACTCCTTGTGACACATCTTCGTGAAAATTTTGGTCAGATGACTTAAGACACGTGTTTTGGGATAGCTCCTGTAGGTCCCTTAGCGCGGTATTTGGTCGTTCCCGTACGAGGTTATTTCAAGGTTTACTGGGGGACTGGACTAGGTATGTTAGCTAGGGCCGCGGTCTCAAGTCATATCATATGTCTTGCGCTGAGTTCGACTCCCTGGGCAGTCCTCTCTTCCACTCTTTATCCATCTACAAGCGACCTTTGAGCACGCTCTGAACGAAACATACATTTGCAAGTCGTTTCGTTGACACTAAACCGTTCAAGGTCTGGCTTTGTACTATGCGCAGCCGTCGACACTACGTACCATTGGAACCATGGAATCTTCCCTGGTGGGTCATGCGAATCTTAGCTCATCAACAGAGCTCAGCTTGAATCACAAAGCTGCCCTGCCGAGGCGCCGACGATGAGCTTGGCGAGAGCATGTGGGCACTGGGTTGTCCGGCTGTGCCTGGGCTCCCTAGGTTTTTCGTCCTGTCTTGGGCATCCATAAATGACTACTCTTGTATTCTGCTGCATATAGTAAGTATGCGATCGCTTGTTAAAGTCCTTGTCCGTTTGGGGTACCGTATATATCAGTGGCCGTATTGATCGGGGATTTGAAGACGGACCGCCGTTTGACAACCCACCATATGAGGGGACCGCTGTTTTCGGACATGACATGGCCTTAAACCGTGCAAACAGCCAAGGTGGCATTATTCTGCATTCGTGTGGGGTTCAGGTAGCCTTCAGGATACAGCTTTGCGAGGTTGAGTGGTGGAGTTCTGTAGATTCCACAGCTAGGTACTTCTCGACATCATGGGCCCCAAAAAACACCCTGACGTCTTTTGGATCCTTAGTTCAAGATAAAGAAACATTCAGGAATAGTGAGAATGTGTGAGAAAGGAGCCAAATGCTAAAACCCATCTCGGGCCCCTCGCTTTCTTTCGGAAGGGCTTTGATGAGGTTTAATGGCGAGATTGAGTTGTGCGGAGAGTGTGGTATGCTCCTCCATGTTCGACGGCTAAGGCCGTAGCATGCCACGGAGGCAGCGAGGTCGTGTCCCTTTGGCTGGATCGTGGAGGTGCCGAAGTGCGCTGGAACTACTCACAACCTGCCAGCGCAGTGAGCAGTGAGCTGCCCATCCGATGGCGTTTGCGTCGGCTGCTGCAGCCCCTTGGGCCCTTCGCTCCGCGGCTGCCTTCCGCTCTTCCACTGCTGGGGATAGCCTTGGACGAGGTGGCGCTGGTTGCCAAGACTGGACTGCTGCTGCTCCTCAGTATCTTGTCGGGAATTTGTCTACAAACCAAGCCAGCCCTACTCCCTCAGTCTCCAAAACCAACATCAAAGTTGCAATGGCCAACTTTCAACATCAGGTAATTCGCCACGCAGCAAGCTGGAGGCTGTGGGCCAGACAGAGGAAAGCTATCCATCGGGAGTGGGCCGTAAGGTTTTTGCGTAGTTTGCAGCGACGAACGGACACGTTTTTGGCAGCTTTCCGAACACTACTTGGTCGCAATGACTGCAAGATACTGCAAGTATCCAACTTGGCCACTAGTGTATTTGCCTCTGTTTGATCATTGAAAGGTGCAGGCATTGGACTACGCTGCCCCGCGTGGGCCAGTCTTGTACCCTATGCACGACATCGCCGTGGCTGCTCAGGATGCGCAAGTGGCCTTTGATTGCTCAGGCGAGCGCACCCTTAAGACCTACGGCAGCAATTGATAGCAAAAAATGTACAGGCAGTGGTGCAGAGTGTGCCGGCGTTCTGCTTTGTTGGTACTATGCAGGTTGGGAAATCGTAACCTTTGAGCAGCAGGGACAGAGCTGCCTGATGCAACCTGCCAGGTGACTTGCGCAACATACTGGATTTCCGCTGCATGTACAAGGGCTGCAGCTCATGCACGGTCGCATGGAGCAGGCCATCCTGTTTGTGAGTTTGTGTGCCTTTCGACGTTGAGGGAAGCTGAGGGTTTAGGCACTGCAGGCGATGGTTTCAAATGCACACACATCCACATTTGCAGACATCCCTAGTCATACTTCTCGCCGCATGCAGTACTGATGCAAACAAAAGTGCTTGCCATGCTGTGCATGTGGAAAGCTGGCCTTCGAGAGGGTTCGCGGGAAATTTGAGTCGGCAGGGCAGTTCATCATTCTGGTTATGCAGCGCGCCCAGCCAGGGAGCCTTGCAAAGCACCTCACGAGCTGCCCGCCAGTAGTCCGCCACCCTGCATGTGCAGCAGGTTTGCTTTGCTCTTCCTCATGTGCGTATTAAAGCAATGCGCAGCCTACGGTGCGGGCCTCAGACAAGCTTGGGACCTTGTGCCAAGAGACACGAGACGAGAGACGCAGCTTCGGGCTATGAGGCGGGTTTAGGTGCCAGCGTGCCCTGCTGCTTGCCAGAAGACAGTGGCCCGGGAGGATGGATCCAGGCCCGGTGAGACTCCGAGCCCATGTGCCCCAAGAGGAGCTGCAAGAGCGACGTGCGGAACGCGCTGCTGCACAGGCCACGAATATGCAGGGCGACTCCAGCCGTGCAATGCTAAAGCTCTGAGGCGCGCACGCAAGAACTGCGGACCCAACTCGCTCGATGCTCAGCGAGCAGCCATTTCCTTGATACTGGATGCTACCTGTTTGCTGACCTATTTTTGTAGGTAGGTGGGCTTCCAAACGTGTAGAGTTGTAGTTCGAATTTCACGTTCGAGGGGTGTTTGTGCTCAGCCCGAACCCTGAGCCCCAACCTACACTTTGCCCCGAGACAACGTTACCAGCCTTGGCTCGTGGCAATATCGCGTGATTTTTGCACGCCGACAGCTTGGCACCCATAAAACACAGCAAAGGTGGCCCGCGGCACGCAAAAGCAGGCGCTAATACCCGCTGAAAAGCCACTTGACGCTGTGTGCTGACCTTCCCATCAGATCCATCAGGAAAAACAAGGGCCTTCTTCATGATGCTTTGCCGTTCTTATAGATTGAAGTGTTGTTGTCCGTTTACTTATAACAGACAAGAGGCAATACAAACATATTTAATTGTCATCATCAGATCAAACGTCAACTTATATAGAATATTCGTATATTCATTTCATTTGATAAATCGTTATATATTGAATGATATATAGGAATCTCTAGATATTTATTTCTTATATTCATATTATCGTTTTGTATTTATATATATTTATTCTTTGAATATTATCTCAATATTACGGCGCGGCCGCTGGCGGCCATTTCGTCCTAACTTTTCCGATTCATTTCTAAAATTCTGCTTGCGGGCTCTTTAGGAACTCTAAAATTTTCAAGAGGGGGGTGGGGAACCCGAATTAGGGTGCAGGAATTTATATGAATTATCGGGAATGAGAATATCGATCGCCATATTAGCTTCTTATAATGGGTTTTGATGAATCTTCCGCAAGCTATATAGCTAATTCTATTTGCAAGGGAAGCAGAGCCACGTCACGATTCGGATTTGGAATTGAAATTTTCATTTAAATTAATGCCCATAGAGAGAGATGCGAATAAATAAAAATTGAAGATAGAAATCGGACATATCGATTTAGTTGGAAAAAATCGTTTGAATCTGAAATATCTCTCTAAATATGGGCACTTGCTTCTTAGAGGAATAATTTGATAGGTATGGTAATGTCTCTGAATACGTAATTGCTTCTATTATTTGAAGCGAAAAGGAAGAAATCTCGTTATTCAAGATCGTTCCTGCAATTCTGGCATGCCTCAATTTCGATTCGAGATATCAAATTAAAAGGAATATTTGGAATTCTATATATTATTTTCTTCTCTATTGACTAGTCATTACGAATATATTCTAATGATGACATTCCGCCATTGCAATAAGCAGCAAGATTCCTCTTTTTTTTCCGATTTCGAATATTGATCTTAATTATATATATTAACTTCTTCTGAAATTTGATTTATTCATTGATTCTATTCTAGATATGAGATACTATGAATTTTTATTAAATATATGAATTAATATATGAATTTCTGATATTATATATATATATATCGAATATTATATTTTCTATTCAAATATTTTTGATATTAAAATTCTTTTGAATAAATTATTGGAAATAAAAGAGAAATTGATTTCTATTTTTGAATTATTTATTTTTAATTTGATAGAATAATATTTCTATCGCAATGGATTTTTTAAATTTTGGAAATTCGTATATTATTGAGAAATTTTTTTGGGGGGCATAATTAGGAGAGCCGGAAATTAATCTAGGATGATGATAATGATAAAAATATGAAAATCGAATATATTAGAAGGAAGAGAATTACGTTCTCGTCATGGATGATGAGCTTACATTTGAGATATTCTTTATTGAGATTTCCGCTTTCTATCATTTCTCATGGCAGATTATTATTAGAAGGGAGAAATAAGATATTATTTAATTCTCGATCTAATGATTTCTATATTCTATTTTATTTGATTTATTGAATTATTTTGGATTATTATTCATATCATAAAAATCAAAAGATAATATGATATCTTATTCTATATAGATCTTTATATCAATTTCTATTCGGATTCTATAAATAGATATCGTTATGCGGAATTCAAACCATCTCATATCATCTTCGACTGATTAAGCATGCTATAATATAGATTTAGACACCAGATTGGAGAGATTTTGGTCGCTCATTATTCAATCTTCATTATCTATATATAACCCCAAATTTTGAAGGATATTAATTGGATTCCAAATTTTAGGAATTGGGATTAGAGAATCCTTTTATTTTGAAATTTAGGCGCCCTCAATCCAAGAAAACTATTTTTTTCTGGCGAGACTCCCTCCGATTGATTTAGGACGCATTCTCTTTATAATTTTCATGAAATCTTTGAATATTATCCGATTCTGGATTCCAAGATAGAATAAATTTTCAGGAATCTTGGAGAGAATTTGGAAGGATCAGAGAATATTAGAGAATATCGTATATTTGGAATTTATTGAATTATCATCGAAAGAATCAAGGGAGAAAATCGCCGCAGGCGAATATAATCAATCGAATATCGTCTGGTCTAGATTCCGAATATCTTTTCATAAAAGGGATATCCAATATCTTTCGGTCGGATATATATTGAATTTTTGAGAGTTAGATCGTATTTCAATCTAGATCTATAAAAGAAAATTCATAGAAGATATTGAATCAATCCAGAAGAATCTTTTTTATTTTGAATTGGCTTGATAATATAATCTGGAATAAATCATATATCAATTCAACGATATCAAATATATGCGAGATAGAAATATTCTGATATATATGAAGGATTCATTCTGAGAATTTCATCATTTCTTGATAAAATTATCAATATTATTTAGAAAATTGCGAATATCATCATGATAAATATCAACAATATATATATTATATGATCATTCATCTAATTAGACCTCGATATATATATATCAGAATAGAATATGCAGATTATGGGGAATAGATATCTCTAAAGACGTCTATATCTTCGTTATAAATGATGAAAAAATCAACAGATTACGATCTTTAATCTCTAAAGATTCTAGATGATCCCAATCTCTCAGGGATATATTTCTCAAAAATCTCTAAGAAATATTTCTAGATAATATAATTCAAGAGATAGGAATAGAAAAGAGGATAGATCATGATGAATGATTCAGGATTTAGGAATCAAGAAAGATAGAGAAATAGAAATTCTATAATCGTTATCTCGATTTCAAATTTGATGAATTTATCTGAGATATCCAATTTCTATCTTCAATCCGAAATCTTTGGATCTTATTTATTTATTCCCTCGTCATATTTTTAGCAATGAGAATTGAAAAAAAATTGGGAATATTCTGCAAAATCTTAAGATCCTTTCATATATTTTCTAAATCAATTCTCAAAATTCTTACGAATATCGCCTATTCCGTATAACCGAAATCAAACCGCAACAGATCTCCGATAATATATATATAGAGATAGATATTTATTTCTCTAAATAGACCAAGATTCTGCATATTACTTGAATTTTCCCGACAAATAGCCAATATCATTATTTCATATCCCAGATATTCATTAATAAAATTATCAGGATTCAAATCATTTATTCGAATTTTGAGACGTGCATATAGAAAATATAAAATATAATCTCTATATCATACGATATCGTAGAATATCAATGATGCCTTCCTTTCTCAATGATCATATCATTATTATGGGAGTCTTCGATCTTCTTTTCTAAATCAAAATATGAAGATCTCTACAATCAAAAATATATCGGATATTATTTGGCGCGTTTTCATTCTCTCCTTTTCTAGATAGAAGAGCATATTGGTAGTTAGATCTTCTCGTGATTTAAGCTTTCCTATTTTGGAGAAAATTTCTCTTTGCAACTAAAAAATCCTAATTTGAATCAATAATCGTAATTATTTATTAGATTATTTTTGCAAGGAATTCAATGGGAATTATTGAAATCAATATCGAAAAGATTGAAATCCGTTCTTTTTTATAAATATCTAGACCTATTTAAATGAATGATATATAATAGATTCGGAAGAATAAATCTGAAAAAAAAGATAGCGATTATAATATATATTGAGATTTATTCTTATGATAGGAAATCAAAGAATATGATCAAAAAATTGATATAAGATTTAGATAGAATAAATAAAATGATGAATGATTCGATTAATAATTATAGAATATATATTCTTTAATCAATCTTTTGAAAAAACATTTTCACATTATAGGATATGCAATAATGATTTCTATTGATCATATTCACATATAGCTATTGGAATAATTGAAATGATATTCTCTATATAGATATGAAAATGGAAATATCTATAGAAGATTACGGATATAGACGAATAAAGATGATTCTTATTTTTTAATTTCTTCTATATTCTCGTGAGGGAATGAGATTCTTTTTGAAGAAGATTCATTGAAATTGGGATCTTTAGATTTTTTAAGAATTTTCGACCAGATCCAATAAAATCAAATTTATTGGGAATGATTAAGAGATCAAATTAGTTTCTTTGGAGAATCTATTCATTATATATATATATTCTTATTTTATATTTTTCTGATTTTCTATCTGCTTGATGAATCTATGATATATAATAAAAAGAAGATTATTAATGAATATCTTATTAAAAGATTTCTAGATAGGAATTTGAAAAGAAAATTTAATATATATTTCATATATTATCTTATATATAGATATTTCGGATGATAAGACTAAAATTATTCAATTTATATAAGAAGGAAATGATAATATTGATTTCCTTAATAGATATCTAATTTCCATATTCCAAATTTGAATGATGAGATAAATAGATAATAGATATATCAATAATCATATATGATATTAATAAAATCATCAATATATCTAGAGATGGTTGA